TACAGCAAACCAGCCAACAGCATGACGCTCGACGAACATTCGGAAGGAAATATAAGTGGCATGAGTATGAGCTGAAGATGGCTCTAATTGGCGTCTGAGGCCATTGCTCTCTTGTAGTAGTTAGACGATGGTTGACCATTTAGGCATCCAATGATTACGCGGATAAGAACAAAGGAGGGGAAAATAAAAGCTTTTTGTCAGGGGTTGAACCAACTAGAAGTGATGATGGGAAACCAAGTGAAGTTATGACAGTGAAGCTGTGAGTTAGAAATGGAATACATTGACCATTGATAATCGTTCATACAACGCCGACTAACATATAGTGTGCTGAGCTAAGATCCATTTTGTTGTAAAAAGCAAACACACAAATCGTGTACTCACTCAGACAGCCAAAACTTGCTTCTTTCAAAAGAGTGTATTTCAGTGGGTATCGAAAATATTTAGAAATTTCATTTTAATAAAATGGAAATCAATAAAACTCTGATGCACAAAATGGTGAGTAGCAATCTTCATTCACTTTCTCCATTTGGTTCATGTTCTCAAAATTTTAGTTGGGCAGAAACCTGGACCGTTGACTGGATGAGCTTCTATGTTGTTACTGAAATAAATCGTCAAACAATTACAAAACATTTACACTCAGTTTTGTTGTTTCACACATTGAATAACTAGTACTGGTAGACAGCGATAATGCGTATGAAAATTTAATTGCTCCTCGTTAAATAATTATGTTTTGCGTGCATATATAAGTTCACCTACTCTTTTGAGCCAGATATAGTGGCTGTTTGATGCGTGAGCTGCCTGAATAGCTTCAAGAACACAATCACGCTCATGGTTGCATATATGTAGTAGTTCTTTCTTGAGGAGTACAATAATCGAACATCTAGCGAGCACCGGCCATTCCATCTCCACAAACGCCTCCTTCAAAGTTATCTGTGAAGTGAAGGACGACCTATCGAGGGCAAAACGCTGTTTTCTCCTTGCTGAAGCCTTAAAGATTCATTTAGGGAAACCGGTGATATGTCTACCAAAAGAAATTATTCAATCATATCTAATATCATGGCTACAATCGTGTTGATTTCTACTCACCTGATTTTAGTTTGTTTGATTTTCTATCTCTGTATAACTCTCGTATGCCTTCGGGACTCTTACGTAACTCGGTATTTTCCTTCTTTTCTATGTACATCCTGAATAGATTATTTATCTTATTACGTAACTCTGATACATATATTCAACTCTTCATATGCATTGACAAATATTGACAACTACTTTTGTGACAACTCATCACTTAGGTTGCTGCCCTTCAATGACAGGATATGGATATTAATGCAATTTTACAGCTAACCAGGAGAATTCACTCACAGAAAAGAACCTCTTTGCTGAACTACTTGTTTTGTCTTAAAATTGTTATTTATCCAGTTAGGTGATTTGCTGAGAATTCCAGACACAAAACCTGCAAATTAATCATCAGGGTTAAAATACAGTCTTCACTAGCACCTTAACAACATTCATTATGAGCAGTGAAGAGCTCTAAAGTGTTTAATACATCCCAGGAGGTAGACTCGTTTTGGTTGACTTCACTTTCCTATTAACTAATCTAACAAATCTTTGAATTTTACATTCTACTTAACCATGCAACCTTCAAATAAACACGGGTGGATAAATTTTCTAATTTCCGTGCGTGTGCTAATATTACATGCAACAAGAATGAAGTAAGATCAGATTCTTTGTTGGAAAAAAAATGGACGTCACATACTTTGCCGCAAAGTCAAGATACGATGCAAAATGCGATTCACTAGTGAAAGAAGTGGATCAAACGAAAGATGAGTATTTTTGAAAAAAGGTCATGGCAAAAACAAATCACAGTATAACTTCCGAATATGCATGAAATGTCTATTTACTTCCACCTGCTTCAATGAATTACACATGAATATAAGAATACAAGGACTCACTAGACCATTCTGCATCGAAGTTCACCAATTCGTTGTGAGAATTCTTCAATTGTCTCAGGGTTTTTCGACCATAATCTTTCAGCTACAGCAGCACCTCTGGGCCTGCATATATATGTCACAGAGATGAGTGAAGACATTTCGTTGTAATAAATAAAGCAAGAAAAATAAAGTCATACCAAATGTTTTAGTCAGACTACTCAAAAATCGGTCTGTCATAAACTGGATGTCTAACTGTACCATTTCTTGTATGAGTCTCACCTGTGTAGCATATACGAAGGCGTATCACTCAGTTTATGACCAGCTGTGTCATTCGTTGATGAATAGATGTAAGGCTCAGAAACACCACCCTCAACCCAGCGGTTAACATTCAAAAATAGTGACTGATAAAACATACGAGAGGTTGAAGAAAGTCATACCAGTACCAAAAATCACAGTTGATCCTTATGATATTCGAAAAATGAGAGAGAAACATTGGCGCAGAATAATCTGGATCCCTTTTATTTCGTCGGTTCTCTTCAGCTGCGTACAACATAAATTCTTGAACAAAATAAAAAGTATACAATTTTCCCAAACTTTTGTCCATTAGCAAGCATATTGTCAAAGCGTCATAGTGAAATAAGGCGTTGACATTTACAAGGCATCAAAACTGTTACGAGATATATATATATATCTTGTCAGAGAGAAGTTTCTTGAAAAAGCCAACCCTTTTCTACCTTCACTAACGGTTAACTGGTTGAATAAATAATATATCTGAAAAATGGAGTCCATTCTGAATGACACGTCGAAATTTAAGATTGCTAACTGAAAAGAGGATATGATGGATTCGGCAGGAAAGCAAGTCACGATAGTACTCAAAGAGCTATTGAAAAAGAAAATGATTGATAACCATACGTACCATGAGTTAAAACCCACAGGGTCTCGTCTACCACATATGTATGGTCTGCCGAAGATACATAAAAAGAATCGCCCAGCCGATAGGTTAGAACCTGTCAGAGAACGTCTAGCTAAACATACTCCAAAAGACTCGTTCCAATTTGTTGAAGAGGTGATTCACCTCAATGTACATGACAAATTCATGATTTCCTACGATGTGACTTCGCTATTCACGCAGAACCTTCTGCATGAGATATCAGGCATCACCTGTCAACACTCTGATCTTCGTCCTCAGCAGAACTGGAATTTGAGCAGCTTCTTGTTTTATGTACTAATGATCTACAATTCCAGTTTGACGACAAAATGTATCGCCAGGCTGATGGACTGGGAATGGCCAGTCCACTGTGTCCGATATTAGCTGATATTTTTATGGCCAGTCTGGAACTGACAAAGCTCAAGTGTGCAATCGGAAAAACAAAAGCCTACTACGGATACGTTGATGACACATTCATTGTATGCAATGATTTGAGTCACGCTTCGTCTCTATTAGACTCTTTCAACAATGTACACAAAAGCATCACTTTCACGATGGAACATGAAGAAGATGAAAAATTCCATTTTTTGGTTGTAAAGTTGGAGAGAAAATACGACAAGACACTCGAAAAATCTGTGTATCGTAAAGACACACGGAGTGGTCTTTACTTGAATTTCAACAGCTTCTGACCAGTTAGATACAAACGAACGCTGGTGAGAACGCTTTTCTCTAGAGCGAGGAGAATATATTCACCAAGGAAACTAGATAGTGAACTTATGCTCCTTGAAAAATGCTTGAAAGCAAAAGGTTACCCACAAAGTTTCATTAATAAATATGGCAAGAATGAACTCGAGAAGCTTCATACAGCTACGGCAGTAAGAAGCCTATTTCCATCAAACTCGACAACAAGGGCGACGACATTGTGGCAATGGTAATTACAAGATTGAGTGCGGCCCTGCCTAGGACGTATCCTGCAGCATTATTAGTCTCTCTACCCCGAACAACCTCCTCACTGGCGCAGTCAAAGATTGACAAGTAACCCTCACATGTTACATTCAACTGTGTAAACCAATTCACATGTATCTGCAGGAGCAGTTACATAGGGAGCCGAGAGGAAGGCCTACTTCAGATTCTGCGAACATATATCAAGGAGCCTGTGGTTGAAGAGATAGAGTTGTTTAGGCTCTTCTATCGCCAAACACCTGATTGACATAAAACAACGAGTAAATGTGCTAGAATCACTCAAAATAATTAACAGACAAAGCACCTCAAGTCTTCTCAGGTTTGGTGAAGCCTGACTTATATGTTCAAAAAGAATCCGCTTTTTGGACTTCAACTACCCTGGTGACACACTTCTAATTTTGTTATCTTATCTTTTCAACCCCCCTTCTATTTTTCACTTAACTCTTTTAAGAAATAATTTTCCTTGATCCTCTGAGTTCCGCTCATTGTATTACATCATCAACTTCTCATCTGACCTCAATTGTACCGACATTTTGATCTTTTCTTGTCTAATTACGTAACCATTACTAACTTTCTCTTGTTACCACCACAACAACACAACAGTTGATTAACATTTTCAAGAAACCCCTCGCTAAGAGGATATATATGTATGTCCTGACACTTTAGACACCTTGTAAATGTCAACGCCTTATTTCACTATGACGCTTTGACAATATGCTTGCTAATGGACAAAAGTTTGGGAAAATTGTATACTTTTTATTTTGTTCAAGAATTTATGTTGTACACAGTTGAAGAGCACCGACGAAATAAAAGGGATCCAGATTATTCTGCGCCAATGTTTCTTCTTTCCTTGTTCAGATTGATATAAGGGAATCAATGTAGGAAATTTATGATATTTGTGAGATGATCGGCTAACAGTTGGCCTCGTCGATCTTTTCATCCTCTTTCATCTGAACCTGAAGTGATTTTATTGAAGACGCATATTCTAGAAATGACTCAGCGTTCGGCTGGTTTTTCCTTTTCTGCTTGAACGGTCATTTTCACTAAGTTATCTTGTCGACTCTGAAAATCCCTATGTGCACTTGGTTCATATCCACGTGACTCAACTCACACCATTTTCTTAAATAGTCGAAATATGTTAACACCAAAAGTTCTATGAATGATTCACAAACTATACTTACCATGCCAGAGTGATCACATCGGTCTCATCCACACGTGTGCCCCACAGTGTAGCTTCACCACCAATGACTAATGATGCCTCCTCGTCTGTGCCTGTAAAAGACATGACAATTATTATTATTGTCATCGTAGAAAGCTTATAGACTGAATGAGGATTAGTGTAATTTTCAAATTCAGGTGTGCCGAGTTCACTGGTGGACGAAACATTTGGAATTCGAATGGTCTTATATTTTCAGGTTTGATGTGTCGGCACTACTGATAAAGTTAGACAATGAGTTTTGATTTAGAAAATGTTAGGTAAATAAATAATGGAGGGTGCGCTATATTTGAAGCGTAAGAAAGGCCAGACAGACCTTCACCACTCTGAAATCGATATTCAGTTATTAGTTTGTAGGGATTTGATTGGTTACAGGATTTCATCATTAGCTGATATTCGTTAGACTTCATCGGCAATCGGATCGGGTCCCAGTGGCTTAATAGTCTACGAGCCTTGTGGGTGCATACTGATGGAGAGTCATAAACTAGGACAAAACTGCTGTGAACTACTCCCAGGTTTTCCAGTGGTTCTATATCCAATATCAGTTCATGATGAAAACTCTGAAATCGGTTTAGAACTCTGATGCAGTCAGCAAAAAGAATCTTTAGTTCTTCCGATAGGCATGAAGTTACAAAGTGCTAATTATTCAGGAGTATTTTGATTCTCACGCCATGGAATTCAGATCATCTATCTATTCATCTAACTCAATTTCGAGCACTCCTTCTCAGGTAGACATTTTTTGTTGAATGTGAGGCAGGAATCTGTCTGCGACATATTCATCATGGAGGCGCATGCATACTTTATCAGATCTAGATTCAATACTGAACGATTGCATTTGAGAATGTGCTTGTTCAGTGTTAATGAATCTGCAATTCAGTCACACAGCTCACATAATGCAACAACAATAAAGGCATCCAACTGACCTACATATTCTCTCTATTCTTTTTGAATTAATAAACGTCAGAATACTGAGTTATTACCTATATGACCGCACACTGTGTAGTTTCATATGACCAACCGATTCATACCCGCAAATGACGAATAAGCTCCACATTATGCAGATCCAACAGATAATGTCAACACATAAATTTGGCTAATGACACTATCCCTGTCAAACCATACTGTAAATCAACTAACCTCCAAATTCTCTGATATCTTGTTCGTAGTATTTTGTCCATTCATATTCGTTATGTAGATTATTTAAATTCCAATCACCAGTAACTATGACGTTGAATTTTTTTCCGGTAGCCTCTTTGGTAAATCCTTTCCAAGCGATGCTTTCCCAAACATGAATGACTGTGTTCTCATCACCCTGTAAGATGGAACCACACATTTATACAATTACTGGTTGTTTGCTGGACGAATACAAATGTCTTTTAATGAGAGAAATTAACGATCAGGTGGTAATCTAGGAAGTGAGAGCCACCTTATTCTAAGGATGGGAGATTTCGATTAAACGGTGATTATAAGGAGGGATTTCTTAGCTGTCTGAGATTTCTGAAGCCTATCTCTGAAGAGAAGTTAGGTGTCTGTCAATCTTTAATGGAAACAATACAGAGTTGGCTCATTTTCCAAAAACTGAAATATGCAATCAACTCGCTCCTGCTCTATTCTCAACTCAAAGGTATTTGAATTTCTGGAAAATGTATGTCATCGCTGGATTCATCACTTCAGAGTAACCAATGTCTTATGTCTGATCCTTGGATTTGGTGCTAATAGTCAGGATTGAAGTGTGATTGCCAGGCTAGATGAAGACTTATAAAATGAGCAACGAGAACTTGGCTTTCTTCGATTTGAAAATGAAGCTAGGCAGAACACTTGTCATTCTTGACAGTAATGTCTTCAGGAAATCAACACACTTCAACAGCTATCCTAACTCCAGGTCAATCAGTTCCACGTTATGTTATAGCAGATTGAACAAACTGCTTCGTTAATACAAATGACAGTCGAATCAATACATCGAAGCATTCCTATACGTTTAAAATGAAGTTTAATTGGGACACTCCTAAATAATATTTGGTTTCGCTCATCCTCTAGAACCAGAAAATATGCGCTTAGACGTGCTTTTTGATTATAGCATGATTCTCTACAATATGTTGGTACAACTATAGCCTTTCAGCACGAGTTATCTATCGGTAGCCTAAATTCAGCAGGTCAACCATTGATATCAAATGAATCTGAAGCGGTGATTGAAACTTGTCGTCGTCCTGACTGCTGTGCCACCAAAGCACAATGGCAGGGATGAAATAAGTAGCGTTGCCGAATTATTTATAAGAGTGAAGAAGGTGGAGCGTATTTCTTTGAGACCCGTCAACTAGATGTATCCCCACTCGCTACCAGTGAGACTGAGACTGAACCATTAACACTTAGTGTCATCTAAGAGCTTAAATCTCTTACAAAACCAAATGAAGTGGTTCACTAAGTAGGAAATCCCCAACTGTTCAATGGATGAAACTATTTTTTTTTTTTTTTTTTTTTTTCTCCACAATGAGACCAAATATCTAAACTCAGTGAGAGTAATGCGAAGATTCCAAGGTCAAGCACAAAGATTGGTCAATTCCCTTTGGGTCAGTCGAGTTTACAGAACATGAGAATTCAGCCTGATTTATCATACATAACCATCTTGTATAGCTTTCTCGAGAAAACATGAGTTTACAGTTATACACGCATTGACACATGGACACCAAATAAGGCGAATGAGCTACACTAATTACCCAATTGTCATTATTGTATTGTAACCCAAAATAGTCCCACACAGGACATTGAGTTTCAGCGGCACTAAGAGACGTCAGACTCATGATGAGCTTCCTGCTTGCGCTTTCTGCCCACAGTGTAACATTTGTACTACCAATTGGAATTCTGGATAAGTTTTTGTGCGTTACTGTCTGCACGTGTCTGTAGAGGTGATTCTTCTGTGTTGTTTTCAGGTACAGATAACTGCAGTTTCTCTTCTTTTTGACTGAAATATTTCAGTCACATTCTTTCAGGAGATCAGTGTTCAGCTCATGAGAGCTTTCTATGTTTTCGGTAATAATCTGATTAACAGGCTCTGATCGTACTTGTTGTCGTCATCTGAGTGGTTGGACTACATTACTAACTCTACAGCTGTGAATTTGGAGATTTTAGTTCCGTTTAGCATGCGATCACGGATTCCTAACAGTGTCATAACACATCTGGTTCAATCTGTGTTCTGACCAACCTCAGATATGGTGAGAACACTTCGTGTCCCCATGATTATCCTCGAAAAGCGACCCTTCGGTTGAGTGGCTTCCATCCACAGAGGCAGGTCAACCTAGAAATCATCTTCAATATTCCAGCAAGGAATGAGTTTATTTTTTATATTTTTCTGTGCATCAAAGTTATCGTAGCGATGAGTTAAATTTTTAAAGAGTGACGTTTTCAGCCTAACAATCAACCTTTCCGTTTTTAAAGGTTAAAGACTTGCTGATAAGCCAAAAACCAGTTAAACACTCATAGTTGATCATCCAATCGGTTTTCATGAATCTAACACACATCGATAAGTTCTATAGAGATAATACAACACCAATGATGGGAATGCGAAAAATGTCTCTATCATTGGGAACATGATATGAGAAAGAGACCCCGTGAACAAACAAGGCTATAAAATTATGCTAATACTTTAAAATGTTTGTGAACACTAGGTGTTTACTGAATCACAACCCACCCAGTGAAGTAAGCACATCTGATAGTGTTGTGCGTGTAGATAAAACAATTAATACTACACTCATCTCCCAACACTTACCTGATATCCGTGATCTAAAACGTCTCGATATAAAATAGGTGTAATCGAAGGATTTCGGTCAGCAACACTTTTGACAATTTTGACTACTTTCGATGCGTAATAATTTACTAGCTGGGAAGAATTACCAGAGAATCCCATTTTTTGCATGAATTCAACTATTTCTGGATTCGAAATCCTAAAGAAAAGAAAACAGAAACACAATAAGTTTAATTTTCCCATGTCCTTCGTCAGTGATTTTTAGAAACCAACTTTTTTGTGAAAATTGTTCTCCAAATCACTGACTGATAGTCTGACTTCGAATGAAACATTAATGACTCACAATTGCCAATAACATTAAAACAATTTCATTCGATTCTGAATATGCTCACAAATGATCTGCAATTATTCACACATTCACACACAAATTGTTTAGTTCAGATTCCCTTACTTCACACCAGTTCACCATGACCTTTATTCAAACAGTTGTATTTAGGGCAGATCCAAAACCCTCCATACACTGTTCACGGTGTACAACACATAGCCTAATAATAGGTGTTGAGAACTATTCTGTGAAGATCGAATCACAATGCATACGATATTGTTTTTGGGGACTAATCAAGACTCCGAGATGATTGATTGGACAAGAGTTGTACAGACCAACTGTACGTTTTATATATACCTTTATTATTTTAATTTCAACTATTTTCCTCAAGAGATTTGGAAATGTCCGACGAACGAAACATGAGAATCGTTCAATTCAGCTTGGCTGAGATTCAAACAAATATAAATTTTAAGTAATGATAAAATGTACTAAATGAGACGAATTCAACCTGTTGTCTTCTGAAGCAAGAAAACGTTTTCCATCAGAATACTTTGAGAATTTCGGGATGTCTTAACATGTCGCCTAAATGAAATGTGAAATAAAATATGAGTAAACTCACCAACAGGTGACATCTATCCCATTACCTCCGAGATGAATATAGTTATCATGAAATCGGCTGGTGACTTCTGTAAACAGATTCTTCAGAAAATCAAATGTTGAATCATTGGCTAGATTCATTGGACCCAACTGTCCATTTGGCTTAGAGTCTTGATAACATTTTGTTAGTAAGTCTGGGTATGCTTTTCCCCATGACAATGTATGCGCTACAAGGAAGTATTGTGACAACCAGTTAAGATCACTTTGACAAATATTAGAAGGACAATATTACTTAAATAAAATATGGCGTGGCTGTTCATGAGTCAGCACTCCATACCACTACCCATTTGAAATCGATTGTTATTTTGTTTCCTGTGATTCTACACGAACTGCATTCCTTCACAGAACGATAATCCCTACGACTCAAAATACAGTGATCAAGCACTTGACAGTGTTGCTGGCACTTTAGCTAACCGTATTCAGGAAATTCGCCTTTAGAATTTTCACCAAGTTTTCTGGTTTATGTGAAGCGATTGAAAATAAAAAAAGGGAACCATAAACCCGCAATGATTTGAACAAACCATGGTCTTTTATCCGCAAAGAAACGAGTAAAGCTTTCGTAAAATATGAAACTGTAAGGTAATTCAACAGTAACCCACTTCAGCATCTCATTGATTTAATATAACTGATAGTATAGTATCATGAACAATCTGCATTATAGTTTCAAACCTAATGCCTCTGCCAAATTCATGGTCCTATGTTGCATTTGCGGCATTATTTCGACAACACTATCACACTGACTCAAATACTGACATAATTTCATTTCATGTGGACACAGTTAGTGGATAATTACATCACAGCAAATGTCTTCAAACTTATTTACCTGGAGTATCAAATTCTGGAATGATCCGGACTCCACGGAGACGAGCGAACTCCAATAAATCAGACACTTCTATCTCATCATATGTATACATTTGTGGATGATATGCACCCTGTTCAAATTAAGACGAGAATCGGAATTAATAAACGGCTGGACATCGACTCAACTTACCTTGTCTGATAGTTCTGGATAGGTGGTTGAGACAAAGGGAAACGACGGATCATCTGTGATGTGCCAATGAAGGACATTCATTTTAACCATTGCCATGATATCCTGGAAACAGAAAATACTATGCTGAATATCACATCTCCTACTATCATCTTCCGTAGCGTTTCAACTGGCATGAAGTTCCTACCAGTATCCAAAAGCATTCCACGATGTGAGAATAATGGTTCATCTTCCACAGAACCCTTGAATATAATATTCTACATGAAATATAATGATGAAATCAAGTTATCAACAGGAACAAAACTCACTCCTCCAAATTCACCTCTGTATACCATCTGAAGTACAGTTTCCAGGGCACGTAGAGCACCCCATATCTCTTTGGAACTTATCGAGATCTCTGTATCTTCAATGTTCACGTTATCTGCAAAGTGGTGAATGAAATACTTCGTGTGTTGTGACTCACATGATTCGTTCATCACATCACTCGGCCACAGTTTGTCTGCATTTTCATCACATCCATCCATGATTTCAATTTTCAGTTTGTTTATGATACATTTGTCTTTGCTCTCCTGAGGAATTGGCGGGTGGTGTGATGCAAGACGTAGTCGAAATCTTGTCAGGGATTCTGCTAGTATAAAGCATGTTGGGTATTTGTGTTCGTAGGTGAGTGTGTGAACCAGGTTGCAGGCGGTTGAATCTTTGTCGTAGACTGTTGGTTTTGGAACTATAGCGAGTGTTCGCCGACTTGCATTATTGAGCAGTAATGCAACCAATAACAACACAGAATTAGACATCATGACTACGTTTTGTTTCTCAGCAGCGTATGTCTCACTCGGAACTCAGCAAGTTTTATACTAAAATTCTCAATTGGATTTTGAACTTATTCTACATCTGATGAAAAACATATCATCCAACCAAATCAGCGTATCGCCTGATGGCTTGTCTGTGAGTTGTGTATTGATGAAATTTAGACGATTATAATGATTTTTGTAAATAATTTTTTGGAAAAACAAATGTTACGATGATTGAATATAAGTCAGTAAGTATTCTTATATAAAGTGGAAAGTAAACAATTTTAATATGCGTTTTCTGTGTATATATGTGTCAGATATTCTCCACGGAATCAATATATTTCAGTGAACTATGGAGTAACTAAAGTCATCATCTGCCTTCTGGTGAAGGCCAGTCTTGATGAATCTTTCACTGTACCACAATATAAATAGGGCCGAAGCTGCATGAGTTAAATTATGACTGGACAAATCTCTGCCACACTCGTCTGATGCCTAAGGCTTTTGCACTTTTATTTCGGTGTATTTTTCTGACCAGGCTTGGACGCTGTTTTACACTTTTCTTCGATCGAGTAACACATATGACATCATATTTCACAATGGTGAGATAAGTTCCTAGAAGCTTCTCTCGATGTTATTGTGACGTTCAGTTGTCTAAACAAGTTGTTCTGCAGAACATTTTATATAAAACGCGAAACCTTCTTGATTCAACTGTTGTTACCAGCAGTTGGAGGTTTTGTAAAGTACAGATTAAGTTTTGACATTAATACATTCTATCTAGTGCGGTTTGCATAGTGTGAAATTTCAACCGCATAACCTCTCATATACAATTGGCGAATAGTGCCATATCTGCAGTTTGGTGTATCCATACTTTCACTAATTTACTGGTTGCAGTTTGGTTTGTTTTCGCGTGTCAGATTGTTACTATTTTTTCATTAATTTTTCTACTTGGTTAATTTTATAATTGTGATATTTTAATGTATTTTCTCATCATGACTTACCACACTGTATGCTGAAATCGACTTTTTTGTACAGGTTGTAGTTACCACAAAACCCTCGAGACACACGGAACATTCGCAGGGCTCGCTCATGTGGAAATGTGTTTCTCCCTTTGCCTTATCTACTTACATGAAATCAAGTCTTACTGTGCTATTTTGCGGCTTCCTGAAAATATTGTCGAGGATAGTTGTAAGATCGACGCCTATCCCTCTTCAAAACTTCAGGATCGTTTCATAGCTGCTATGATAATCAGAGTTGTACGTACATGATCAGTAGTGGGTGCAGGAATTCTCCCAAGACGTACATTTTAAAGATTTCAGTCTTACTCAAATACTTCATTAGATGTAACGGCTAGTCACTGATATAAAAAATCACAATACATTCGGAGGGCGTGGGGAATCCTGTCAATCTTTCGAAATTTACTTTGATAAAGTTTTGAGAGGGAGACGATATAAGTGTAATGGCTGTTAGACCTAAAATAGGCATTTCAACCGCATTATTTACTAGTTCTTACTGTCGTAAGGATCTCTGCGCTCTCTAAATCTTTGAATAGTCGAGTTTTCACTCGGCGGCCCGTGTAAATAAAATTTATCAGATGTGTAGTATTTTGAAAAACATGACAGTAAGAAATCGTACCACTCCATATTTATCTGTTGTAGCACATACATCTGACTTTTTGGGAATACTCGATCGTGTTTAGGAAATTCTCAATACACTGTTACGCTTATATCAAAGATGTTATGGTGCCACTCACGAAAAACACACTCCTCCGTGCATTTTGGACACCATTCAACATATATGGGCGTAGCCGTATGATGATGACTAACGTCACCTGAGGATCGGACCAGAGGCTGCTGTAATCCCACATGAAGTGGAAGAGCGTGTCGGAAAAAATCCACCCTTTAATATTTCCAGTAATTGCGTCACAAAGATCACTCATATTTTAAGCCCAAATTTACGTTTATAGTGTGAACAGTGCCAAACGGTTTTTGAGGACTGACTCTAAGAATAACCATTCGGCTAATTGCATCGTGAGACTATTCATGGTAGGCTGTTACTGACCTCCGTTTAGGAGTCGGTGTTATAATGAGCTATGCTAACTAACTCTTACAATTTCCAATCTTCTCGTTAAAAGTAAGGTAATGCAAAGCGTTTACTTTTTTTCAACTCCTGGAGGTCGAAGTAATCACTGAAGTAGGCAGTTTTAAATCCGTTTATGTCTATATTAATTTGTTTATTAGATATATCACACAATGAGTAAAACATTATTATTTACTGGATGACAAGGTTCCTAACACAATTTATTGTGGCTCATAATCACACGACTTGAAAACTTGAGTTCTATAGTTTTGTTTGTTCTCTCTTATTTGTCGTAGTGGCAGTCGAATTTTCCAGGTATCCGAGTGGACAGATGCTTAATCATTCTTAATACACGTGCTCACAGTTGATTCGATAAATGAAGCTTCCATTATCAATATCTCCTTCCACCCCGTTACATTGGATTTTAATACCATCATCTTATCTCATCCCATTGTATGGTTGTGTTTAATTGCACATAATGGTGCCTCAAACATCTGGAAAATTCTGTCACCCGTATGACATATAGGGAAGAACAAAGAAAACTATAATGCCAAATTCCCAAGTCATGTTATTATCATCTACATGATTATGAACCACAATAAATTGTGTTGGAAGCCTGGTCATCCATTAAATGATACTGTTTCACTCACTGTGTGATATACCTAATAAACAAATTCATAGGGAATAACAAACTAACACTGTAACGCTTACGTCTACTTACGATATCTGTGGATAGAATATTAGCGCTCCTTCTGAAATTCAGTAGACATTCCGAGTGATTTTCCCGGTGTTCAATTATCTACTTTACTTGGACGCCAATGAGCTCACCTTTTAGTTGGTGCGCACTGGAAACAACATTCATGATTGTAGTGTGATGATTGTTTTGTGTTCCTCTGTCGATTAGACTGCAACTAACAAATATGTCGATGCATGTGATGAGCGTTTCCTTAGCTTTGTATAAAGCAATGAGTCGGCTGTTAACCACCAGAGATAACCAACTTGATGGCCCACTTTACAAATATCACTCCGATCCTGTCGGTTATAACCATCGTGGAGTTAGCAGTTATTTCTGTTACAAACGTTAAATATGCATATCTGCTATTCGACCAGTCTTAGGTGCATGTTTGTGTGACTCATATAACTATTTTATTAGAGATACTCCTGCCTTTCCTCGAAGCAAATAGATTTTACATTTGCTGATGTTATTCAACTACAATATATATATTTTCCAGAAATATAATGGTCAAAAATATGTTACCTGCACTTTAACTGTAGTGAAATCCACATATTCATTGCCACTGTAGTGGAAGCGAGTTTGGTTATGTCATTAAAGAAGACAGGAATCAGAAGACATTTACCAGTTCTCATCCGATCACCGAAGGTTATCAAAGTAGGGCCCAATGGAAATGCCAGGTGTAGCTGACCTTTCAACATACTGAAAGTTTCACGTTGCACTTAAATTACTATGCTGTTGCAAAGGAAATAGTCTTTCATTAAACAACCACTCGGTGTTTATGAGTGACTGAATGGCTCAAGTGACAGATGAAGCAAACAGGCTATTTCACGAAGACAATTGAGTGATGGTTGTAATGATAATAAAAATAATTTACTTTATTCCAAAAACATTACTTATAATACAGAATGGAATTCTCAGCATTTGTCACAATATTACATCTGATTTGTTTAAAGTATAAATAAAATTAAAAATTAAAACAAAAGTAACCAGAGGAATTTGTCCACGTTTGCGATATATAGTCAAAAGTATTCTAAGCACGAATTGAGATCATTAAATATAATAATAATAACAGTGAGTTTGTTTCAAACAGTATTGTCGATTCAGTTTGACAATTTTAGCATGTTACTATAGAGTATCGAATCTAATGTTCCACTGATATAGCAGCATGGTGAGGGAAAGACAAAATTAACAGTTATAACACAGCTTAAATGATGTTCACACTTATGAAAAATAAATAAATAAAAACAAAAAATTGAGAGGATTATAAATATAAGAAATGCAATAAAAATAAAGTTTGGGTGAAAGAAATGGTTTATTTAGCAGTGTGAAGAGGGTTAGTTAGTTCATGCCCGACGCCATTTTCATAACATAAACTACGTACTAAATATGGTATAGTGGAATTTTTATACTTAGACGTACGTGCGTATATTCTTCTAAAAAGACTTCTTGTTTTACCTGGGGAGACACAACGTTGGAGCTGCGGTTAGAGTGGGTGCTCAGAGTCTGACAAAATTCCTTTAGCAAATTTGTTTCATGACAATGTCAACGATTTTGCAAGGGTCATAGGAACCAACAGCTTCACTTAACTTTCGTTTACATCGGAAACTCAAATTAACAGTCTGGCATTTGGAACAATTTAGTTTAGGGCCGTTACACGAAGACCATTTACTAATTCCTGATAGAAAGCTGTTCATCTTAGCACAGTCAAGCTGGGAGTTAGCAGACGCTGAAATAGTTAGATCATCGGCATACTTGACAAAGTTCATTTCATCAGAGTGAAGCAAATCATGCAAGAAGAAAGAAAACAGAAACGGAGAAAGAACAACGCCTTGAGGGACACCAGCCTCAGTAAGCAAATATGTGGACGACTTTCCCTGACATACAGTGTACTGTTTTTTTCGTGAGAAATAAGAATGCAGCCATTTGACAACCCAACAGTCAGTTTGAGTTTCGGCCAGCTTGGTTAACAAAATGTCCCTAAATACTGAGTCAAAAACAGATGTGTAATCTAGGAAGGTGCAGCGATCAAATTTAGCCCCTTTGTCTAAGCTGGAGACAATGTTATGGTACAAGACTGCAACTGCATCTAAAGGAGAAAGGGAGA